GACATTTCCATGGCAATCGTGAAATTACGAACACCCAGCCCACTTAGTTAGACATGTATTCGAGTATAACGTCAATATGATTTCATTGTATTTCCTATTTTTAAATTATACTGCAGGTATAATAAAAAATACTATAAGATACACGTGTATAATTGGTCTTTAAAGCACTTGCAACGTTAAAGGCACTCCGCTTTGCGTCGTGCCCTTAAACTCGTTGCGCGTGCTTTAAAGACTTGATTATACACTTGTATCTTAATATACTATTTTAATGTAATAAAAAACGAAACTGTATATGTAATATCTATATGTAAGTATAACCTAAGTATTCTAAGTAAGTGGCACTTTTTAATTTTTAATCAATCAATCAAATCAATACCGTACCCATAAACTTAGGGTGATTGTAATATGGATATGGTCCCTCTCTGTGACAGGGGACTATGCATGGAACTTTTGGTGAATGCTGAAGCTGAATATAGACCTGCTGAAAATTGTACCTATGTCTAATCACCCTGAATCGTAAATTAAATCCCCAATTTATTCTCATATAGGTACCACTACCATATCTCAACTCAAAATTACTTACTTTTTAAGTATCTTTCATCAAGTTTTGGCGTTTTCTTTATAATAGCTTCTTCTCTGGCATGTTTTTCCTCTCATTTGCGTTTATAATGCGCACCATTGTCTCGGTCTTCCGTCACTCATTTTATTTATAGGTACTTGTATTTGTATAAGTAGTTTTAGTGAAAAAATAGTCAAAAACAAAAAATAAAGACGAACGAAAACACGAAAAGATAATAAACGTGTTGAAATGAAATCGAGTCTCTCGACTCTCGAACCACTAAAAATTCTCGGTACATCTCAAGTAGCTGAAGTAGTCCATAGCCGGCACCCGGCATACAGCTGTTGTCGCGTCAAGTGTACTCGGTACCGCCACCATCCGTACGCCGCCAAACGCCAGGGCGTAGTTGGCGTATAGGGAAATCCGCCGCAGGTATAATCCTGACACGAATTCTTCTTCAATCTAACTCTCAGAACCTTCAGCTTCTAATTCAGCCGTTAAGTTGTCTAAAAATTTACCTGTTAGCGGATCGGTCGGGTGGTTCCCGAGAAAACCTAACCGGACTTTGGTCAGATGCTGTACCGGAACCGGAAACGGGAAGTGGCAGTAGATTCCTTGAACCTTCCTCTTTCCAACGAGCCATCAACCAACCCCCTAGTCCGATAAATAATCTCTCGGCGTTCAATCTTAGGGGGTCATATCCGATTTGTTGACTTTTTAATTTTTTTTGAGTGCCAAAACGACCTCCCAGGTCCAAATGGACGCCGGATTTGAATTCCTCGCACCCGATTTAGTCTAAGAACAATATTTCGTTCGAATCCGAGATGACCGAAATGCGAAAACTTATGGACTTAAAACGATAAAGGCTAGATCGATTAAGTAGAATTTTTATTATATTTGTAACATTACAGATAACAAAACAGATAATGCTAATATTTCACCTTCAAACGGCACCAGTCTTTTTGAAACTTTCATTAAAGCACTTCAAATTTCTCAACATTCCTACCAAAACCTTACAACCAACCTTTTTTATAATTTCTTTTTATTTTACATTTTTTTATACATTTTCTTTTGACATTTTGGAACACATTTTTATTTTACATTTTTACAGAACTACTTTTTTTTACATTTTATTACACAAGTTTTTTTTTACATTTTACAGAACATTTTTTTTCCTCAACCACCACCTTATTACATCACCATGGCCACTCCTGTACATGTAAGTTAAACTGTTTTAAAATAAGTACAATTTTAGAGCCTTTTCTTCCGTCCCATCAGGCTACACGAGCTAAAGGCCGCTTTAATAAATTACAATAGAAGGGAGGACGTCAAGATCGAAGACGTCTGCAAAGTTTTTTACAGTGGGCCAGTTTCGAAGGCAATCAGGGAAGATTTCACCAATTTTATTACGCTTAATTTTGACGACATACAGAACAAATTGGTGGTTGCCATGTCCCCGGTCGCTGCCCTTGATTTCTTTTTAAACAGCGATGTCCTGAAGGGTGTGAGAAACAAAAGCAACCGAGCGAGATAGACGCCAAATTGCAACAAATTATGTCGGCAATATTTCAAATTGAGAACCCCTTGCCTGAGACGCTCGCCATTTTACGTACTCTTATACAAAAAGTGCAAGTCGCCGAATTTGTAGACCCTGATGGGACAGAAGAAGAGGCGCACGACATGTTGGGTCGAGCGTTAAGGCTTTTCCCCCCATTCTGGCATGAGATTAAGCCAAAGGTGTATCAAAAAAAACAGAAGGCCAAACGAGGGAGAAAGCCTATGAGGAGGCAGTTGTCCCACGACTCCACATCCACCGATGCGTCGTCTGGTGAGGTGGAGCCAGTCGCAGTTGAAGATATCGCCGCCCGTCCTGCCGTAGTAACCGAAGTGGACGTTGATGCAAACGTCGACACAGCGGTGAAGCCGGACACATCAGTACAGGCAGATCTACTGGTTCATCGCCGTGGAGATGGAAATGTACCACGTCCACGGTTGCGGAAGAAGCAGGCGTTGGCGACATCGGAAGCTGTTACCGGCCCATCACGCCGTCGAGACGACCAGGCTGGCTGGGACGCCATCCTGCCAGCACCCCCATCTCCTCCTCGAGCCCGACCACGACCCCGACGTGACGACCACCAGACTGGGTGGGACAGCATCCCGCCAGAAACGGATTCTTCGCTTTCTTCAGTTGTCGGCACGTATGAGCTACCCGAGTACTGATAAACCGTTGGTTCTGAAATATGAGAACTAGTATCGTCAAAATCATATACTTTGTTAGTGTTCCTCCTTTCAGTATGACTAATTTGTTTCTCATTAATTTCATTAAATTCGTGGTTCTCAATATCACTAGTTTTAGTGCAGTTTGTTTGCATGTGATCATTATTTTTTTCCATTATTGTGTCAAAATTGTTAAGCCCATTCAAATTAGATTCGTTACAATCAATATTAGTATCTTTACTACGCTGTGTTTGTTTTGCATCACTATTTTTCAGAGTTATGTTATTAGCATTGTTAATATCATTAACATTAGATTCATTGCGTTCAGTTTCCGTACATATATTATGGCCTATACACTTAGAGTAATCATTTCTTTGTATTATTATTATTGGAATGTTATTAATTTTATTCAAATTAGATTCTCCTCGATCAATATCAGTATTTTCTATGCGGTCTATCTTCATAACAGCGTCAACATCGTCAGCGTTTATCTCCGATTGATTGTTAATATCTCTGCTAGTAAATTTGTTTGATTCCAACCACTCCTAAAAAGTAAATTATTCGCGAAAATCAATGGAGGGCGCTGAAAAATTCAAGATGTCGGAAATGAGTGTGAACAACATTTTGCTTTCATACTCCAAGTGTATGCTACCTGTACCTTTTTTGTTCGATTTTTTTATTACCCTGCGTTTATACCTTAGAAGAAACAGTCTTTTTCAAGACTACATTGCTCACAACACTTGTATAAGTAAGTATATCCACGCAAAATATAATATAATAAGCATGACTATTCAATTCATCTAACATTTGTCACATTTCAACCAGTGAAATGCCTCGATTTCAAATTGCTGCGCCAATGGGAACGAATTATAGTGATAATTGCACGTGTGGTATTTCAGCGATAATTTCACGTGTGGTATTTCAGCGACAATTCAATGCGATTATTCAATGACATTTGTCAAACTTCCACCAGTGAAATGACGCGAAATTTTGTCGTATTAACCGGAACATTCTTCTTAGTTTGTTAATCAATTTCGACAACCGACTTATCACCACATCTTTTAATTTAATCACTCATAACGAATTAGCTTGGAGCACAAAAGTTCGAATAGAATCAATAGCAAAATGAAAAGCAACTTCCATAATTTATTTTGACGTTTATTGTTGTCATGGAAATACATTCGCGTGGGTAATTATGCTTAATTTTTCTTTTGATTCATTGAATAGTCCTCCGAATACCATTCGTAGTCGAAGTATTTGTAGATTATTTTTGAGCTGCTGCTCCACTCATGCTAGTTACGCTTTTTAATACCACTCGCGCAAGCGCTCGTGGTATTAATCAGCGTAACTAGCATTCGTGACAGCACCTCAAAAATATTCGACAATACTTCGACTACTTATGGTATTATATATGATAATTATTATTTTCCAGGCAAGTGTTTGACCAAGCAAGGGTAGTATCAATTACCCGTTGTGGCACTTCAATTTCATTGTTTCACGTTTGTTAACGGTGAAAGATTGATTGGATAGTCTATGTAAGCAATCCAAATAAAGGGAAACTAAAATATAAATGATATCCTTTCAGTAAAAATGGTGCGAATCGAAATATCACTAAGTGATATTTTGGAATACGTGGGGAACCGTATGCGACCTTTGAAAGAAGGGGAGGCAGTATTTAAGGCAGGCCATGTAATATTGTGCGGATTAGTGACTGAGCAAGCAAAAGAAATTAAAGGTTTATGTTTGCAAACTTCGGCACTGACCCAACCTCCCCATGAGATTACAATAAGCTATTTGCGAAAATCATAGGCACCTTAAATATGTAAAATGTCAAATACCTAATAGAGTGGTGACATCGTCATAACCTACTACAACATCCGCGTCGGGTTCATTATTTTAATCCGAGTTTTAACCCTTTCCCTATGGCCAGCTTATATGAGAATTTGTGCTGTAAAAAGGAAACATAGCTGTTAACTGTGCGACACTATTTCACCGTGCCCGAACAGACAGCTGCCGACTATGGAGGCAGACATTCCATCAACCCATGTGCGGCACATTTCCTCGGTGTGGGATAGGCTGCGTCAGCCGTATGGAAAGGGTTAAGCTGTTTACTGTACAGATTGTATATATAGCATTATCGAAACCTGTTTAAATTAAAATAATTAAAATAAAAACAGGCACTGAACACATTTAAGAAAAATACAAATACAAATACATTGCAACGTGTTCATTAATTGTATGCAAGTTGATGCCATGGCTTGCATATTCTCCGGACGGTATTATTATGAATAACGGTGTACCCGACAGCTTGCTGGAAATAAAATGCCCATACATAGGTAATAGAATTTATTACTGGTGTTTATTACAAAAACATTACAATTGTTATTTTTAGGAAAAGAGAAAGGAACAGACCATTTTTTTGACTACTGCAATTATTTAGTAGAAAGGAATGGTGAAGTGGTATTGAAGAATCGTCATTCGCATTATGGACAAATACAATTAGGCATGGCGTTATTAAACTTAAAAAATTGTTATTTTATAGTGTACTCTTCTTTTTCAAATAGTTACCTACAAATAATAGTACCCTTTAATGAACAATTCGCTACAGATCTGATGAAAACAGTCACTAGAAAATATTTTAATAATATGTTACATTATTACTGTTTAAATAAAGATAATTTCTAACAATATAATATAGTCTCATCGTTAGAAACAGGCGATCAAAAATGAGTTGTTGTCGAGTCGCCTTTGGAAGTTCAAGTACGATTTCTCATGTGGACAAAAATTCCAAAGGTGATTCGACAGCAACTGATCTTTGATCGCATAGTACTTGGTTCTACAGCAGGTTTTCCCAAATTCGTTTACACTGATCAACCTAATTGCTGGTTGGTTGCATGATAGAAATACTGTTTGTGATGGAATGGTATGTGGTGATGTCAAACAAAAGAAAATAAAATTTTAATAAGTTGCATTTACATCCTATTGTAACATAATTAGGTATACAAAAACTTAAAAACTAGTGCATTGAAAATTTATCTGCTGCTAATATAGGAGGAGATATTTTTCTGTCGCAGCAATAATTGTCATGATATCATCCATGTACGGAATGAGATACCAATCAATTTCGCTCAAAATTGAAAAAATTTTCAAACGTTGAATAGCACGTTCCACATGAACCTATGCTCTCGCTATATTAGCAGTTGTAAGTGCTTGTTCTTTTGAAAATTGTATATTTTTTCGTAAAAATGGTGGCCGAATTAATTTAATGCAATTTTCTTCACACTCTTTTTCTATTAATATTCCTTTATCCACCATAATTGCATCATGCAGATCTAATTTAGTTATAATATTCTCATTACAGAAAATCGCCCTATCACTGCTTCGGCCACCATATGCTTTACTCACATATGAAATTAGCCCTGATGGCGTAATGCCTATTAAAAATTTCATCGTATGACAACATTTATAATGTGAATATGATAAAATCCTACATTTTAAACAATTTAATTTTTGCACTTTTATTTCAGTAGCATCCAAGATTATGCTAGTGTCCTTAAAATCTTTAAAACAGAGTGGTAGGTTTTTCCGGATCTCTTCTTTACTTGGCCAATAGATAGCTGGTTTAATGCTAGCTGATAAATAAGAAACATATTTGTAAAAATTTCTTTTGCATGTGCTAATGTTCATACTGAAGAGAACTGCTAAACATACAAAAGACATGTTCGTTTTGAGTTTACATAGCACTAAGATTATACTGCTTTGTATTTCGCTTTCGCTGATCTCCCCACTAGTAACGTTTTGTACGCATTTCACATAAGCATTCAGTATCATTGAACTGGAATATAATAAAAATTAGTGAGCAACTAGCACAGTGCTTGGGTACGTGCATAACCACTGAGCGCATAGGGACGAGTGCTATGATCGTACCTACTTTTTTATTATTACATTATAACTGAACCTCGTTAAAGCAATAACACAGTAGATGTATTCTCAAAAATGCTCTTCATAAATGATTAGGTAGGTATATATAGTAGACCATGCTTACCAGTAAAATGAAGTAATTTATCATCATCCTTCAAAAGAAGTGGTAGTTGAAATGAAGAGCAATCCGTTTGTATACCTTTTGATGCAGTAGAGGGACATTGTAGATTAAGTGTTACATCTGGTGAAATTTCGAATGCCTTCCGAACAATACCTACATTATCAACTGTCTCCATATTATCCTCATGTTCTGTCATTGTTTGTGATACTTCTATATCTAGTGCGGCATTATCACACTGTAACCTAGAACTTATGCTGTAATATAGATTTAAGAACAGGTTTAATGTCTTACGATTTCCTAGCACCTCGTTGCACAGGGTTTTGAGCTGTATCATGTGGCCTGACTGGTATATGCTGCGATGGTAAAACGCCTTTTTTTAAACGCTTTTTAATAGTTGTGGAAGTCACTTTAAAAGTTAAAGAATGAAAAAAATTGTTACAATGATAAACTTACCTGGCATAAAATCTTCTGGTCGAAAATGTTTACTGCACACCAACATATATTTACTAATGGGCTTTCCTATTCGCAATATCCACTTCCACCGCTTACGAACATTCAAATCATCAGGAAATTTGTGTAGAGATACTTCATTTTCAATTTCACAGTAGGTTGAACACTGTGGTACTGAACAAATCCTACGCGATTTGATACACTTATATCGATGAACTTTTTGCATTTTAACCACTAATTCCTACAACGGGACGATAGGAAAGCAGAAATTAAGGTTTTTTTTTCAACACCAAAACAGATTGATGTTATTCAAAATTGGGCCATATTTAATGCACAGTTTCATAAAATGTACGTACGCAATTAAAACAACGGTTTCTAGAGACGAATATATGGGTAAATCACTTGGAAAACGACGAACATATTCCCTAAGTAAACAAGCAATTAAATATGGAAATATTTGTTGTTCACACTCCTAGCGTTTACACAAACTTCCAGTAGATGTCGCCCACTCCGTGATTTTCGCGAATTCCTCAATATCAAAGCTTTGGCATGGAGTCAAAAATGGTATTTTATGAAACCGTATTTAAAGTGATTTACTTCAACTACTGATGAAGTGATCCTAAATATGTTTTTCCTACTAATATAATGACACTTTTAACACTTACGTCATAAAGAACTATTAAAAATTATAAAATATATATTTACCATTGTTTGTTTATGTTTGGCCAGCAATACATTTTCTGGTTCTTGGACAGGCTTGGTGCATCTCAGGGGCGCAGATTTTTTACTTTCTATACAAGATGAATACATTGTACTAAGCCTTAGTAGTAGTAATCAAAAATTATCCTGGTCAGGTCGCCTGGATTTTGACAGAATTACATGGGCCAGCATAGGGCGCACAGTCAACTTTGACCAGGATAATTTTTGATACAACGGTAGTAACATACAAAATTTAATGTGTGTATTTTTTTGCATTATACCAACTTAGTTGTTTTCAAAGATTGAAATAAATTTCAAACTATTGTTTAGCTCAAAAACAATATACAGTGCGATTGCCGGCTGTGGAACGCTCCGAATAAAAAACCGTTAAAACCTGCGTTACAAATGCTTGGACACGTCAACCTTAGTTTTTAAGCGTGCATCTTTTCATGTAGTTTTCATTTGTTTTTACCCTTACCTTTTTGTGCAATGACATCATCGACATTTTTTTAAATAGCAACCCCATGTTTTTTTTACAGATTCTTATTCCAATAGAAATTCTGTATTCAGGAATACTAAATTTCGAGTAGAATCGGCATCTGTAAAAAAAGCATGGGGTTGCTATTTAAAAAAAATGTCGATGATGTCATTGCACAAAAAGGCAAGGGTAAAAACAAATGAAAACTACATAAAAAGATGCGCGCTTAAAAATTAAGGTCGACGTGTCCGAGCATTTGTAACACAGATTTTAAGGGATTTTTTTATTCGGAGCGTTCCACAGCCGGCGATCGCACTGTATATACTGTCTGAATTGTTTTACATTCAATAGCAAAGTTTTGATATTAAACATTTTTGCATTTTTTTTCAGGATCACCGTTCGTATGCATTATTACTATTACCTTGTGTGGATCAGAAAGGTGACATACGCCTAACGATTTCTAGCCAAGTTTATAAATTTCGCAAGAGATTTAAGAAAGGTAAGTATTTTTTAATGAGAACAATAATTCATCGTTCACAGTTTATTAATTTGTTACTATTCAACAATAGTAATTTATTATTTGTTGTTGCAGAATTATTTGGACAAGCAACCGCAAGAATTGCGAAAAGTGCGCGACACAAAGGTTTTTTCAACAAGTTAAGAAATGTCGACTTTAATAACGCCCGTAGCGTATCTAGAAGTACTTTTTTGCCTTTGTCGGTACCCAGTTCCGACGTACCGTTCATCCGCAAATCGTGTTTGAAGTTTAGGCCCCGCCACCCAAAAGATCTCATCAAGAACCTCCAGATTGCCTTTGTCGGTCCCCAGTTCAGACGTCCCATTCACCCGCAAATCGCATTTGACGTATCGGCTCCACCAACCAATAGATTTGAATAAGTTTTTGACCTATTCCTATTTTCCTTTGTCGGTACTCAGTTCTGAAGTTCCCTACACCCGCAAATTACGTACGTTTTCAATTTTGACCCACCATTGGATGGATCTGGTGGAATTTCATTAAAATCGATTCATAAATGGTCAAGAAAATAATCAAAAAAGGTATTACGAATTTTGAATCTATTAAACCCAAATTTACCTATGTTGTCAACTATGCATGTTTTGAATTTCGTCGCATAACTAACCCAGATGTCAAAAGGACATCACTTATTTTTTGACCGACTCGATTGTATCCCAAAAAACATACCGAATACATTAGTTTAAAGCTTGTAAATATTTTAAACGACGTTGCCGATGTTTCGGAGGCAGAAAGTTGCTTCCCATGTGAGGGGGCGAAGTCGATCGTAGAGTATGACATAAGGTATTAGTGTATACGCAGTGGCGCCTCTAGTGGCAAATTTGCTAAACTAAAATGTATAAAAGTATATGTGTACATATCTTAATCACCTCCGGCTAAAAAGCGATGAGAATCATTGTAAGCATCCCCCTATTCCATTTCACCAACGAAACGACTTCGCCGCCGGGGCGAACGAAACCGGAGGCGAACACGTAAAAAAGGAGTTGTACAAGTACGTTGTATATAGCATTCGGAGGTGTATCAGTACTAAATGCGTGTGTGTGTGTGTATATATATATATATTATATATATATATATAATATATATAACACACACACACGCAAACACCCTCACACACCCCATTATCCATATTGAACGTCCATGCAAAATAATGACGTAAGGCCATAAAGAGTTTTATGGTACCGTGGTATCCTTTAATATTTTTTCAATTTAACGTACTAGCTACCCTGCGTCCATTCCCTTTGGAAGACATCGGACGTCCTTCGTATGTTTTCTGATGTTTTTGCTATACATCCAACGTCCAGCAACGTTGCCACGTTGATGACTCTTAATTCACACATATAATTCTATAAGATTTGCTTTCTTGCGAGTTTTGAAGAGCGAATTCTGTCTGCATCGTATTACATTCATTTTACCGTGTTTGTTTGATGAATATAAAGTTCGAGTTAAAAGTGTTGTACGAATTTTTCTCTGTGGACATTTGCGAAGGTACGTATTAAAGGTAAATAAATATAATTTTGGTCAGCCAATATCGACATCAAAAAAGACAAAATCGCAAAAATTAGGGTTTGTTTTTTTAATGTGTTGTTAGTATGGGTTGTATAAATTCTACATTGGGGCAAGAACCGGATCCTATCATGCTAGATGTAATCTACTTTGATACAATAAAAAATGTAGTGTGTGATTTAAAAACAAGGCAATGTGCACGGATGTGTTCTTTTGGGATAGAAAATTTGGTTTTATATGTACCCGTAGTGGTCTCAACAACATGAATCGAAACTACTCTAATTTGCGCTTACATTCCTCAGGATGAACCGCAGATCTTCAACAAGAGCTGCCAGAATTTTGGGCTTAGTTACACCACTGAATTATAGTGAAGCAAATGAAACTTTCACAAGCGAGGAATCTGAAGATCCATCGCTTCCAGAAGATATTGAAAAGGTATTGGATGATATCTTGGATGACGAAACGAAGGTTAGTGCTATACAACGACATTATTTGTTTAAAGATAAAATGGTTTCTTGAGTAACTATAATGAAAAGTTGAATGACATAAACATAAATTCACAGAACCACAACCAGGACCCAGTAGTTTAAGTATGGAAGTAGAACGTTCCCCACAATGCCTCGCTTTCAAGCAACTAAGGCTTATTGAACTGTTATTGAAACTGTAGTTGGAGCGAAAAGGTAAGATGTTGACGATGTGTGGTTTTCACTGATGCCGACATTTGTGAAAGGGACGACCTGATCTCTGAATATGCAGGATTACCTTCAAGGGGCATCTTAGAAAGGTTACTGTTTCTGGTCCAAAATGAAGAAGTCATGTATTATTCAAAGTGGAAGGTGCACAAAATTTCTGTGACCGATCAGGTGCTACTTGCGTTGATGAAACTGCGTCAGAACTTTTCTCATGCAGATCTGGCGTTTAGATTTGACGTTTCTGTGGGAAAGGTAAGTAATATTGTTCTCACTTTCATACACGTACTATACAAAATTCTTTTTAAAACTCTTATGAATTCAATTCCAAAACGCTCTAAAAATGAATCAGGCTTTCCTCATTGTGCAAGAACATTCACAAATTGCCGAATCATTTTAGATTGTACAGAAGTTATATCAGCAGTGTTTAGACAATCCATGAAAACACAAAAGTAAGTAATTATGATTGTCAAATTTACTGGCCGTTAATCGCATTTTCCGCGCAATCGGCCACCTTTCCATTTTGTTGACTTATTGTTAATTCCGCCAATTGTTGAAGCTTTTGTTGGTCCACTTCGCACCGTGAGGGTGAATACTCTTCTTTGTTGATAGAATGCAGGTGCCTCCGAAAACAAGATTTCGTCAATCGGAGGCACTAAAGCAGGGCGCCCATTGAATCGGATCGGATCGGCACGGCATCGCTCAGTCCGGAAACGTCCAACACTCGCTCACCAAACCGGCATGCTTCAGTCTATCAGTCGAAATATAATTTTTGTGGCGTGTAGTTCATTTTAGTTCGGTTAGAATTTTATAAACAATACTTAAATTATATAATATGAGCTCTTCATCTTCCGAAGAAGGTGATATGATCGCGTAGGCATGCCTTGAGATAGAGAAACAAAATAGGTGATTTTGGGTCCACGAAATTAACCTCAAACGACTAACGAGATGCATTTGGAGAATTTGTGAACCTGTTTACTGATTTATTAAGAGATAATCAGAAATCACAACGAGAAAACATCGGACCTTCGGTATTTTTTGCCCTCTCTAGCAAAAAGGACTGATTCCGAAGCCAACCGATGGACGTTGCCGAGCGTGGCGGAAGCAGTGCGCGGATGTTAATCTATTTCTACGTATTTCAAATCATTCCGACAGGACTGTTTCGTGCCGATCCGATCCGATTCAATGGGCGCCCTGCTTTATGCTTATATTTATATTAACTTGTCTTCGTCATGTTAAATTAAATATCGACAACTATACTTATAATTCAGACGTCCACGATTATTGCCCAGGAAGGAGAGCAGCAATAAGACTTCCATTTTACCGGTTGAGCAAAACGAAAGATCCATCTCCCGGATACCATAAAGGCTTTACCTTACGAAACCTACAAAACACATATTAAACGATTTCTTATTAATAACCCTTTTTACTCATATGCGGAATGTTTTAGTTTAGTTAGTTTTGAATTGTATTTAGTTTTTATTGACGTTTGTAAGCAATGTTTCTGTTGCAAAGCATAATAAACATTATTATTATTATTATTATGCACAAAGTGAAAGGTAAGTCTAATTTTATTCAAATTTATCAAACATTAATATCTGAATATTTTATTTTATTTTGTCAGGCTGATTGTGTGAGATGGAGGTGTGACCTGTCGCGGAGATCTCTTACAGATTCGGACCTTACTGGTAAGTACAATTTTAATGGTATTATGTGTGTAAGTGTACGATACAGTCTGAACTTTTGTTGCAGATGGTCAACGGAGGATGTGACGTCAGAATATCCGGCTGCCATCTTGTCATGTTCTACGTACCTGTTTTTCTTTATCAACCTTCAATATCTTCGTAAACGTCATGCTATTCTATGGAAATTGTTTTAACTCAAATTTAAATCCTGTCGTTTTGTCAATCGTAATTTACTTTAAGCCTTAAGCCATATTTTAATTTCATTTTGGTTCATATAGAGCGCAAAGTTTGAGTAGATCTTTCCGAAACATTTGTTTTGCTTATTTCAACTTTATCAGTTATGTGAAATCTGTTTAAGATTTTTTTATCGTATATGTCAATCTATGAAATCTCGTACAACTACTCCAGTCTATGTCCAAATACTTAATTGTGTTTCAGTTTATGGTATGGAAACCACTTTCGTAGAGCTCTAGGAACGTCGGAGGATTTTGGGTAAGTTCGTATTTATCCTATGTTATCGGGATTTTTAGACTTTGAGATACATTCTG